AAATATTGATATCATTTTTTTTATCTATTAATTTTTAAAATAGTAAACACATAATATTCATATCACCTGAAAATTCAACAACCCTCACAATGTTAACATATCTTAAAAGTAAGTAAAGGGTTGGATGGTGTTTTCAACTTTGGTAGTCTTAAGAAAGTTTCTGAGTACCTACTACAGTTACAAATTGTACTGGGAACAGTCATTCACAGTCTTAAAATGGGTAAAAAACTACATACGAATATGCGATATTGCGATATACTATAGTAGATACTATAGTATGCTTTCCTTAAATCCAGCCCTGTATATAAGTAATATTATATGTGATTTGTTTATGACAAAAATCAGTTCAACCAACAGTATTACTAATAGAAAAATAAATTACTAATTATAGCTAAATAAATTCCTCTATAGCTATAATTAAATAGGTAGCTTTAAAAAATATAGGCTAAGAAAATCAATTTGTTATTTTTTGTTGTAATTCAATGTAACTATAGAGACTTTAATATTTCTTAGAAAATATTTATCATTTTGTATTTTCATAAACACAAGATTAATTAGAAAATAATAATATGTTGGTTCTTTTTTTCTATAGATTGATATTTTATATTTCCTGCTTTTTTGTGACAAAGTTCTCCATAAGTAGTTGTTTTAATAAATAATATCTAAAATACATTGTAACGAGTTGTACTTATAAGCTTTTAAACACCTCAATTTTTTACGAAAATATGTAAATTGTTTTGTAGTTAAAATATATTAAGAAGGAAGTGACATATTGTATATTTTAACTCCTCAAAGAATTGACAAAAATATAATATAATTTTTACATGTAAAATCATTATATAAAAGTTTATACAGTTATATAACTACCTATATAAAAGTCCTTGAAGTTTTGCAAAATTGTTGAAAATATATCAAGTGTTAGTACGTGTAGTGTTTGTACTATCTATGTTAATTCATATAATGAGTATAAGTTTAAGCATACCTATGCATTATAAATATTTTATTGACTAATACCTATTAGTAATTACTACAAGTGTTCGGGTTTTGAAGATGTTTTATTTTTTATCTGTTGGTCTTAAAAAAACTATAAATTCGATTTATACTACTTAGAATAAAATAGACATTTTAGCTATTTACTTTTAAGTTTTTTGTTTTGTTTGAAGGGGCTTCAGTCGATGAAAAAAAGTGAATTTTAGACTAAAAAGCCT